CAGCACCTCAAGGGAGCCTGCAGACAGGAGGGGAGTCAGCTCTTGGGAAGGGGAGAGAAGTGCAGGACGAGAGGAAATGGCTGGAGTTGAGGGAGGGCGGATTTCAGCTGGATGTCAGGGGAAGTTGTTTGCTGTGAGAGCGGTGAGGTGCTGGAACAGCTGCCCAGAGAGGCTGTGGATGCCCCGTCCATCCCTGAGGTGTTGGAGGCCAGGTTGGATGGGGCCCTGGGCAGCCTGGGCTGCTGTGAAACGTGGAGGTTGGTGGCTTTGTGGGGTTGGAGCTTCGTGATCCTTGAGCTCCCTCCCAACCCAGCCATTCTGTGATGTGAGGCTCCAAACCTCACCCTCCTGTCAGCAGAGCTGCTTGGTGAGCCTGGGTTTGTTCTGCTGACTGCAAGCCAGCAGTGTGCACCATTGGCCAAGAAAGCAAGCAGTGTCCTAGTTGGTCAGTGGCTGACCATGAGCCAGCAGTGTGTCCAGGTGGCCAAGAAGACCAATGATAGCCTGGTCGACCAGTGGTTGGCCAATGGTTGACCATGAGCTGGAAGTTATGTCCCCGTGGCCAAGCTGGCCAGTTGATCAATAGTTGACCACGAGCCAGCAGTGTGCTCTGGTGGCCAAGAACACCAGTGGTGTCCTGGTTAACCAACAGTTGGCCAATGGTTGACCAAAAGCTGACCACAAGCTAGCAGTGGCCAAGAAAGCCAATGGTGGCCAACTGGTTGACCAAGAGTTGCCCAACAGTGTGATCATGAGCCAGCCGTGTGCTCTGGTGGCCAGGATTGCCAATGGTGGCCAACAGGTTGATCAAGAGTTGACCGATCATTGTCTACATGGTGACTATGAGCCAGCAGTGTGCTTTGGTAGCCAGGATTGCCAATGGTGGCCAACAGGTTGATCAAGAGTTGACTACAGGGTGACCATGAGCCAGCAGTGTGCCCTGCTGGCCAATGGTTCCCTGGGGGGCCACTGCACAGAGCACAGCCAGCAGGGCAGGCTGTGCCCCCCACCCCTGCTGTGCACTGGGGAGGCCCCATCTGGAACACCGGGCACAGTGCTGGGCTCTCCAGTTTAGGGCAGACTGGGAAGTGCTGGAGGGCTGGATGAGGACCTGAAGATGCCCCTTCCAGCTGCTGCAGCTCTGGGAGTTTTGGGATCTGATCCCCAAAGCACTGCAGAACATCCCAGGGCTATTGGGGAAGGCAAGGGGGGAAAGACAGAGCGAGCAGCAACTCCAAATCCTACAAATAAGGCGAAAAGAAGCAGGGGGTGACCACTTATAGGGCTACAGGACACAGTTCTGCTCCTCTACCCTGCAGGATTTGCCTGTTATCTTCACAGCTGAGGATTTAAGAACTGCACCACTGGAGGATGCTGAGCGGGGCAGATTCCTACTTGGGGGTCAGGGCTGCCTTTTTTGGGATCACTGTTCCTACAGCTGAGCCCCGTGGATGTTCTGGGCTGCAGCTCACACAGTAGCAGCAGTACTTACACAACATGCATTGCAATGAGCAGCGGAGCCTGGCCCCGAATTGCAGCGCTGCCGGCAGGTGTGGGGAGATCATGCAGCCCCAAAAAGCAGGGGGGAGTAAGGAAAGGGTCCTAAAAAGCTGGGGGTAAAAAACAAGGAGATCCTGAAAAGCTGGAGACCAAAGGAAGGGGGTCCCAAAATGGAAGGGGGTCCCAAAATGGAAGGGGGTCCCAAAATGGAAGGGGGTCCCAAAATGGAGAAGCCCTGAAGGTGGGGGATGCTAAAGGAGGCAGGGTCCTAAAAAGGTCTAAAGGAAGGAGGAGCAAAAAGGGAGCCCCCCAAAAAGGAGAATAAAGGAAGGGGAGCCCAAAACGATAGGAGCAAAATGGTGGTCCCAAAAAACAGGGGGCTGAAGGAAAGAGCAAAGATGGGGGGGGCAAATCGGGAGGTGCCCCCA